GAATAGAAAACAGCTCCGTCTCCATATGCATTCCAAAACACACATTGGCACCTTGGCACCATACTGAAAGCAGCTCCTCAGGATGCTTCTAGTCTAGATGGGAGGAAGTCAAACAGAAATGATATTTTATAATGAATCAGAATGGGTATAACTGGTTCCTAAATAAGTGTTATGAAAATGGAGGTTTAAAGTTAATTCCGGGTGCAAGGGAGCTCATGGAAAGCTTCAGTGAAGAGATGGCCCTTAAAATGAGCTTTCAATAGTGAATCATCTTTGAAAAGCATAGGAAAGAATTCTAGGCTGAGGCACAAACATACACTATTTGTTTGAGAGATGGTCATATGATTGAGCATTACTGTGCTCAGGGGATGTGAGTTTGGGCAAGTAGATTGGGGACAGTTTGGTACCAGGATTTGGAAGCTCACCTGGTTTTGAATTCCTTCTCTGTTGCTTGTTTTTAGTAGAGTTTACATACTTCTGAAAATTTCTCAGAACCTCAGTTTTCACATCTAATAAAATGGAGATAATGTCTACCCTTTTTTGTTGTTGTTGTTTTGCAAGAAATAATTATACTAAGTACCCGTCACAATATTGGGTATGTTGTGAGGGTGGAGAATAGTAGGCTCATGTTTATTTCTCCTAGATTGCTGAGGACCTCGAATGCCATCTCAAAGAGTTTAGATTATTCTAATGTGAGTAATTCTAATTACTCACTTTCTTGGTAAATGTTACATTTTTTATATGAGACAAAGTATTCACTTTTATATCACTCCGTTGATTGTTTCCTTTTCTGTGTAGAAGTTTTTAAGTTTGATGCAGTCCATTTGTCAATTTCTGCAGTTGTTGCTTGTGCTTCTGGTATAATATCTAAAAATTGGTGCCAGTGTCATAGTTTTTCCCTATGTCTTCTTCTAGGAGTTTTATAGTTTCTTACGTTTAGGTCTTTAATCCAATATTAGTCCTTTCATAAAGTGTTTGTTGTATTGTTGAAGAGGGAATAAGTCTTTTCTTTAGTATGATTGTATCAGGAATTTGCTGTATTTAAACTTTTTTTTTCCTCCCTCACACTCTCGCTCCCTCCCTCCCTCCCTCCCTCCCTTTCTCCCTTTTTTCTTCCCTACCCCCTTCCCTCCTTCTCTTCTTCCCTCCACTATAGTTTGAAGATATGTACTCATTTTTTTGGTTCTTAATTGCTGTGCTGATAGAAGAATTCATTTTCAACATTTTCTTGTTTGTTACTTGGTTGGCAGGAAGAAGATGAGCCTTAAGTCTGAACGCCGAGGAATTCATGTGGATCAGTCAGAGCTCCTGTGCAAGAAAGGATGTGGTTACTACGGCAACCCTGCTTGGCAGGGTTTCTGTTCCAAATGCTGGAGGGAGGAGTACCACAAAGCCAGGCAGAAGCAGATTCAGGAGGATTGGGAACTGGCGGAGCGGTAAAAAGACTTAACTAGGGGTGGCGTAACAGTGTTATACTGGATACATAGTTCTGTCACTGTCAGCATATATTTTTTCTCTTCTGTTTTGATCTATCAGCAAGTCAGCTTAATATAAAGAGAAATGGATTTTCCCCCCTCTTCTTCTCTGTCAACATTTAATAAATAGAAGGTGTGATCAAACAACACGGTAAATATTTAAATTTTTAAAAAATTACAGTAAAAGACACATTGCCCCTAATCCCCCTCAAAATACTCCCCTTCGCTTAGAACACACTTATCCCATCATTCTTGCCACTTTCTGAAGCAATTCTGGAAATCCTCTTTCATGAGTGTCTTGAATTGTGCTGTCTTGGCTGCCTCAATGTCCTGAATCCATTCAAAACATTTACCTTTCATGGTCATTTTGACTTTGGGGAAGAGCCAGCAGTTGCACGGTGCCAGATCCAGTGAATAAGGTGGATGAGGACACACTGTAATGTTTTTATTTGACAGAAATTGCCATACCAGAGGAATGTGTGACATGGAGCCTTTCTGTTGTGATCACAAAATACGGTGAATGTTGCTGCCGAGTGCCATCCAACAGAAAGGCAGGGATCTTCAATACAGGAAGTGGTGTGTCAAACCTTCATAACAGTGTGTGACAAGTTTCCATTTGTTCGGTGCAGCCAATCGGATGTGAGTATAGTTGAGAGAAGGTGTGTTTTAAAGTATACCGTAAATCATCCTCCATTATGACAATGCTCCGTGTCACATCACTTCTGGTGCAGCAGTGTCTGTCAAATAAATCGTTACCTGGGTGGTAAACCCACAATGTGATTTATAAATGATGTATTACAGAATTGTACACCTGAAACCTGTGTAACTTTGCTAACAATTGTCACCCAATAAACTTTAATTAAAAAAAATAAAATAAAATAAATAAACATTACAGTGTGTTCTTATCCACCATATTCACCAGATCTGGCACCATGCCACTTCTGGCTCTTCCCCAAAGTTAAATTGATTCAGGACATCGAGGCAGCTACAAGAGCACAACTAAAGACACTTACAAAAGAGGACTTCCAGAACTGCTTCAGAAAGTGGCAAGAACAATGAGATAAATGTGTTCAAAGTGAGCGGGAGTATTTTGAAGGGGATTAATGGCAATGTGTCTTTCACTGTAATAAATTTTTTTTTTATTTAAACACCATATTGTTTAATCACACCTCATAGCTTTCAGTGATTTCTTCATTTTCTCTTTGTCTTACCTTTTAATTATTTTGTGTTTCGGATGTGTTAGTCTTAGTTCTAAAATAGACAAGCTCCTTAGAGTAGAAAGACAGAGATAAACGTACTTCATGTTGGGGTTAAATTAGCAACATGTATATGATGTATCTGGCTCTCATCAAGCATTGTTTTCCTCATTTTGTTGCTATATCCAGCATGGCATCTGGCACAGTCATAAACATATATGAAAATTTAATTTTTCCTGAATGGGGTTTGTAGGTCAAAAGTATTATTTGATAAACTTGTATTATCCAGAAATATTATTATGATAAAAATTAGAAGATGGAATAACTTCCATCTTGTGTGCATAGGAACTAATAAAATGCCATGAATAATGTTAATCCTTTGCCAAAGCGCCCTAGAAACTAAAACTTCTCAATAAAAAAGAAAGTCAAACTGAACTTGACAGCTTTTGCTAGTTTTTTGTATCTAATCAGCCACATTTGTAGAGTGACTCTTTTGCTAGCTTCTGTGGTAAACTCAGAGAATTATAAAGTCCACTCACTGCTTTCAGTGACTCCACAGTCAGTCAACGAGAGAAAATGCTGACATAGAACATTAATTATTGGGTTGTCGGAAAAGTCATGATGCGTTTTTGCAATGAAAAACAAAAATACATCATGACTTTTCCGACAACCCAGTATTTCCTCAGATTTCCCACTGTACTCCTGATATTCTCAGTAGCTGGTCCTATTTCATAAAAAAAATAGAGGCTACTAGGCACAAACTCTCTTAGCTTGCTCTCCTCTCCACATCAGAATATACCAATATCTTTATATTAAACTCTGTTTTGTCTCAGAGAAAGATGTGTCCTATTCCTTTCTCAGTCTACACCTCTCCCTGTGATTTTGTTGTTTTCTTACTCCTTCCAGTTGTGACCTCGCTTGAGGTTTCCTACAGTACAATTTCTCAAATTTGCACAGATCTGAAAATCACCTGAAAATCTTGTAGAAACAATGATAGCTGGACCTCAGCCTCAGAGTCTCTGACTTAATTTTTTGGGAGTAAGGCCTCAAAATTTGCAGTTCTAACAAGTTCCTAGGTGATGGTGCTGCTGCTGTCCTGGGACCACACTCTGAGAACCCTTATTCTGTAAATAGATAGCCTTTGAGGTTTATTATACAAACCTCAAATGCGGGCAAGTCCAAGTCCAAATCTATTGCTTTAATTCCTCTAATCCCCACTCCCCATTTTTTCCTAACCTTCTTCCTGTATCAGTTAACATGACTGTTAATTCAGTTGGCTAAAAAACACTGGAGTCATTGTTAATTTCTTCTTCACCTCCTACACTATCTGCAGCTACAAGCAAGTTCTAGTTTTTCAGTTTAGAGAAGTCTTGAATTTCACCCTCTCCTGTTTTCCAGGTCCTTATCTTCTCTCACTTAAATCTTTCTCTTTTTTTTAAAGATTTTATTGGGGAAGGGGAACAGTGTTGGGGGATTGGAGAAGGGGAACAGCCAAGTTGTTGTCCTTCAGTCTTAGTTGTGGAGGGCGCAGCTAGCTCAGCTCCAAGTCCAGTTGCCATCCAGCTGCCTGTTGGCAGCTTGCAGGTGCTCAGCTCAAGGTGCCATGTTCAATCTTAGTTGCGGGTGGGTGTAGCCCACCATCCCATGCGGGAGTCGAACCAGAAACCTTGTTGCTAAGAGTGCACACTCTAACCACTGAGCCATCCAGCCGCCCGGTGGCAGCTCAGGGCAGCTTAGCTTGGGCACAGTTCACTGGCCCATGTGGGAATCAAACTGGTGGCCCTGTTGCTCAGAGCTCACGCTCTTAACCAACTGAGCCACTCAGCTGGCCCTTAAATCTTTCTAATATATTCTTTTTTTTTTTCCCCCAAGATTTTATTGGGGAATTGGGGGAGGGGAACAGCGCTGGGGAATCAGGGGAAGGGGAACAGACAAGTTGCTGTCCTTTTGTTCTTCAGCCTAGTTGTGGAGGATGTTGCTTCACTGGCCCATGTTGGCATCATCATTGCGCTCTTCCTGGGTGAGGCAGATCGGTTGCCGGCCTCTGGACAGCTGCTCACGGTGGCTCTTGGTAGCTCACACTGGCTGCCAGCCACACACAGTAGCTTATGGCAGCCTGCTGCAGCCTACGCCGTCGCCGGCGACTCATGGCAGCCCAGCTCCAGGTCGAGCTGCTGCTCACCATCTTAGCTGTAGAGGGCAGTGTCACTGGCCTCCATGTGGGATCTGAACCAGGGCCTGGCTGCTCAGAGCTGGCGCCCCAAGCCAGCTTTTAACTAATGCACCACTCAGCCGGCCTCTTTCTAATATAGTCTTAATTATTGTCCCTATTAGTCTGTCTGCCCCTCACGTTGTCACACGGATACCTGTATCATCTTTCTAAAGCACATATCTGATAATGGTAACTTACAGCCTTTTTTGGGCCCCTCACATGGTGAAATCCAGGATGGCAGTCAAGGCTTCTTACCATCTAGTGCCTACTTATGCATCCAGCCTCAGTGCTCTGACTGCATTGAACTTGGTTCGTAACAGGAACCACATGCCTTCACATTTGTAATTCCTTCTTCCTGGTATGCCCTTTCACTTGGCAAAATCCTGTTTATCCTTTAAGACAGACCTAAATGTCACCATTGTGAAACCTTCTGGGACTTCTCCAGCAGACTTAGTTCTTCCCTGTGTTCTCATAGCACTTGAGTTTTATTCTCTACTGTAGAAACTCACATTATATCATAATTATTTACTTATCTTTTTCTCTCTTCCGACCTTGAACTTGTTGGGGAAAATTTGGACTAGACTTTATTTTTTTTATGTAACCCTAGTACATTTACTAAATGAACATGATCTATAGAGAAGGTCCCTTTTACAGTCTTTAGTAGCATGTAGGATAGTTACAGTATCAGAGACCTCAGACCTAATTGGTGTATTTAGCCTCTAGTTCTAAAAATTTTAGATCTTCCTCAATTCGTTGAGTAATACCTTTAGACACAAGGAAAACTTGGAGAATATCTGGGTCATTCTTAATCCACTCTTGCCTTACAGACTACAGCGAGAGGAGGAAGAGGCCTTTGCCAGCAGTCAGAGCAGCCAAGGGGCCCAGTCCCTCACATTTTCCAAGTTTGAAGAAAAGAAAACCAATGAGAAGACCCGGAAGGTCACCACCGTGAAGAGGTTCTTCAGTGCTTCCTCCAGGGTTGGATCAAAGAAGGGTGATTTTCTGAGTCTCTTTTTTTCTTCTGTGCTCAGATGAGGTACAGAGTAGATCCATAATACATGTGGGCTCAGTTTTTTAATTTCTGTAAACTTAGAGAATATCAACTCAGATTTGAGACTGAAATTCGGTTGACGGTCAGACGATATATGAAACCCAAAATCTTTCTGGTTGGAGGACATTGTGTTTTACGGAAGCTTGTTTACTCATATAGGAGGAATGAAGAGGGTTGAAATACATACTTTTTAAATAAAATTCATTCCTATCTAAGTGGCTATCTTTTTGGATGTTTTACTTTTTGTGCCTTTAATTTTTGGATCCTGATTTATTCTTTGCATAGTATCCTCACCATCTGTACCTTACCAGAATGGCTGTTTCTAGGCTTGAAGTCATCTAAAAAGGAAGTTTTTTGAGAACTTATTCGAGAGACAGCTTGTATCATGAGGAAGTATGGAGCAACAGATAGGAAACATATGTTGAGTGAACGTATAGGGAAAAGGCTCACTTTGGGCTTTTAAAGGGATGAATGTGACCCATAGTATGTATTTTCTAGTACATAGATTTGTATATATGTACTTGACCTTATCCTGTTTTTTAAAATGCCCTATAACCAGCAAAAGGATTATCACTAAAGTCAAACTTGTTCTACCAGTGAGCAGAAAAGCTAGTTGAAATGGCCTAGCAGGAAGCAAGAAAGAATGCCTGTTGTTAGGGCTCAGTCTCTGAACCCTTATGTTTGTCATCAGTTATGCAGTGAATTTGGAATGGTGAGGGAGACTGGGAACCGGTGCTGATGCTAGCAGAGGAGCTGTTTTCCTTGGAGCCCATGTCTCACCCCCAGCCCCCCAACCTGGCATAGTTGTCGTGAGGTTTTCCAGTCTGCCCAAATGCAGGGAAATAATAACATCACCTCTTAAGATCTTTGCTGGCCTTTCAGATTTAGTGACTATTGTTTTGTTTTGTTTTGTTAAAAAGGAAAGGTTGCTTTTGCCAAAACACAGCATTTCTCTTTAGTAAATACAAACCTTTAAATAATCTTTTTGTTCACATGATTAATTTGAAGTTGTTTCTTGGTTGGCTGTTAACATGTAGCAGTTTTCTCTCCTGCAGTAAGAAGGGGAAATAATCAGTACCTGCTAGAGATTAAATTAAGAATGTATTTGGCTCATGATTTATTTATTGGGAGGTGATGTAGAGGGTGGTTAAGAACAGGCTTTGGAGTCACCTGGTTTGAGTCTCAGCTTTGCAGTTTACCAGCTGTGTGACTGGGAGCAAGCTAATCTCTTCAAGCCCTGTCTATTCTGAGGGACAGTAATACTTACCATAGGCATGTCTTGAGGATTAAGTGAGTTGATATGTATAAAGAGTGTAGCACAGTGCCTGACACACATTGTAAGTCTCTACTAAGTGTTAGCTGTTTGAAAATACCTATGTTGTTTTTCTGGGAGAATAGTCTCTGCTAGTAAGCAGTTCAAGGGTACCGAAGGGGTCATTCATCCCTATTTAGCTTAAATTTTGTTTCCTGCTTTGGGAAAGTCACTAACCTTAGGAATTTATGATAGATGGTGAAATGGCATATGACAACAGATGAAATAGTGAAGAAGTTATAAAACCATATAAAACCATCGGTTCTAACTGCCTTGCAAATGATAGCGTGAAAGCCCGTAAAGGTTAACTAATTTACCCAAGGTCATGTAATGAGCTGATGTATTAGAACTCAGGTCTCCTGACTCCTGGTTCAGTTTTGTTCCATGATATCTCTTGACCTCAAGTATGTGTGTGTGTATCTATATCTATATCTGTATTTACATCTATATAGGTATACAATGAGGTTTCTATTACTGATGTGCATAATAGTCAAGCACATTCACTGACCATCCTGGGCAGTTTTGAAAAATGTCCTAAAAGCTCTGTCAATGTGCATCAAATTATAGAAATATTTGTACTTTAAAAGAAACAATTCCAAGTTATTTTTATTTTAAAACTTTTATAAAGAATATTTCTTACGTGTTTTCTTTTCTTTTAGAATGACAGAGTTTTACTTTAGATTTTTGATCTTTACCTGTTTTTTGTTTTGTTTTGTTTTGTCTTGTCTATAGAAAGTATATGAGGATAAAGACCTCAAAGAATTGTAAAACTTAATATGTGTGTATTAGAAAAGAGAATGCTGTTGGACCTTTCTTTTGCAGATTGCTTACGTAACTTCTGCCAGATGAACTTGGCATTTCAGACTGATTGGTCTTTGCACGTGGATAAAGTTGGCCCATACTAAATGTAATGTTGGTTTATTGGGTCTAGACTAACACAGACCTATGTGTTCTGTGTTCTTTATTTTACTTCATTAATATCTGATCGTGCCTTGCTCTTGGTATTTTACTCGCTTTTATTGTTAGCACAGAAGAAAGCCCTAAAGCCAGGGCACCTTGGTAATAAACAGAACACAAATAACCTTCGTTAAGGTTGAAGACTATTTTAATAAGAGTTGGATGCCCCTTTAAGAGAAGGTAAATGGAACAGCTTGACTGTAAAAACTCAGAGTTTACTTACAATTTTCTAATTTCCAAAGTAAGGTCGAGTGAGCTATAGCTTAACAAAGTAAATCATAGTGGATTGGCCAAGCTGAAATACTTGCTCTTACATTCAAAATGCCCTTTTTTTAAAGCGTTCAAATAGATGTTGTCACCCTGAGTAGAATCTTGTGTCCATCTTTTACAAATTAATCTAAAGGCTGTACTCCTAGAATTAAAATACTAGTCCTCTATCCAGGTCCTAGGTTCTAATACTGTTTTTCACTAAAGTGAACTAGGGTTCCTTGGAGAAATGACTGATTCCAGGGCTAGAGCAGGGTAAGAGGCTCCACCCCCACCCTCCCACCCTGCCCCACCTAATGGTGGAACCATGGTGGAAGCCAGCTTGAATGTAGTTATGTAAAAGAATATCCTTGTTATTAGGAAATACCCATATTAAGGGGTAGAGAGCATGGTGTATACAATCCACTCTGGAAAAAATTTAGAAGAAATAATACAGTTATGTAGCAAAATGTTAAAATTTTGTGAATCTGGGTAAAGGGTATAAAGGAATTGTTTTTAACAATCTTGCAGCTTTTCTGTAAATTTGAAGTTATTTTAAAGTAAGATTAAAAAGTAAATAAAACTATAATCCTCCAGCATTCAATGCTATCCCAAAACCAGAATTTCAGATGTTGATTAAGTAGAAGCATGGTGTTAATCACATTGTTTGAAGGATTACTAATGAAGTATTCCTTGAATCATCAGGGTCTGTTTGGTGCTCACATGAAACTGAGGTAACAATTCCCAAGTTGAATTTGGAACTGACTTTATAACTGTGCCTGTTTACAGTCATTTTGCAGGTATAGTCAGCTTGGTTGCCTTTTCTTGTTTACACCGAAGATTATTTATCTTGTAAAATCATTTTTTACAGTGTAGCAAATAGAATGCACTTGGAACATGATCAGTTTCTGACTTTCATTGATAAAGACAATGAGAAATTTCCCTTGACACTTAAAATGTGGTGCCTTTTATTCTCTAACATCACTGGGTGTCCAGTAATTCAATCCTGTTGTGTCACAAACTACCCAGAGTCAGCACAGATCCCCCACTTTAAGGGCTCAGCCCCACATGACTTCCCCCACTTCAGACACCAGTCAAAACTCCCAGGAGTGGGGCACCCATAATTCTGACCAACCAGCTATAAATTGAGGATTCCCACAGCCCTCTCCTCAGGTTTGATAATTTGTTAGAATGACTCACAGAACTCAGGAAAATAACTTTGTTTACTCTACTGGTTTATTATAAGGAATGCAACTCAGGATCAGGCAAATGGAAGAGATGCATGGGACAAGATAGAGGAGGGAGTGCCAAGCCTCCATGCCTTCCCTCTCGGGGCATGCCTCTCTCCTAGCACCTGGATGTGTTCTCCAAGATGGAAGCTTCCTGAACCAGTCATTTAAGGGTGTCTATAGTCTTCATTTTGTGGACATGATTGATTAAATCATTGACCACTGGTGATTAAAAATATCCATTTCCTCTCCCCTCCCCAAAGCCAGGGGTCAAGGGTGGGGCAGGACTGAGACTTCCCACTGCCTAATCCCTTGGTTGGTTCCTCTGGCAACTAGCCCCTATCTAGATAGCCCTGAAGCTTTCTAGGGACTCAGCAAGAGTCACCTCATTAGCATAAACTCAGATATGGAAGAAAGAGTCTTGTTAGGAATAAAAAAGATGTCCCTTTCACCCTTATCACTCTAGAAATTTCAAGGGTTTTAGGAGCTCTGTTGCAGGAACCCAGGGGGAAAGACCAAATACTGTATATATTTCTTACTGTGCTACAGACTATCTGCCTTTTAGTCCTATGATGTAACTATAGTCAGAGCTACTGAACTGCCCTTTATTGTTTGGATAATTGGAGAAATGTAAATTTTTTTACATTGAGATGAAAAGTGTCTTTTTAGTGCTAGAAATGGTGTTAATCATCTTTATTATATGATCACGTTCTTTTTTGATACTGACATTTTCAGGTTGTCTTTACTCTGACAACTATTCTTCAAGTAAACTTAGTGAAGATTTTGCTTTTACAGGTTTATTTTGTATATTAAGGATTTAATTTAATATGGGATCTGCCTTGCATACAGCCTTACATAGTAGGTGCTCAGTTGATACTCATTGATTGATTTAAATAGGAATAAATAGATGCTGTACTAATAGGAGGGAGATCATGGTGTGGTTGTAAAGAGCTTGGGCTTGGAAATCAAACAGACCTGTAGTCAAATCAGCTTTTCTTCTGACTGCCCATGTGACTTGAGGCACACAGTGACTTAACCTTTCTCACCTCAGTAGTGTTCATGGCTTAAAATGGAAAACATTATTTCATATGGTTTCGGGATCTAACAGCATTTTTTGGGATTAATGAGGATGCATGGTAAAAAACAGTGTCTGCCATGTAGAAAATTCTCATTGGGTGATAGCTATAAGTTATTATAAG